CAAGATAAAAATGTAAACCTAAAATGTATAAACTCTTTTACATGTAAAATTGTCTTAATTCCGCTATTGCATTCAACTTGTTTAAGTACTCTAACGTTGAAAAAAAGGGATGTAAGAAATGGTTAAGAATATTGTAAGCTTTATTCTCTCATTTATGATCCTGATGAAAAAATGTGGATTTTTGAGTTCTCCCTTGGGGTGTGCTCGACGAAACAGCACGATTTAGTGCACTCTCTTGGGTACTTAGTGTCTAATGGAAGACAGGTACTCTTGGAAGGGCATTAGATTAGGCGGTTCTACCACAACTCTTCTCAACGGGATGACCCTCTCATTTTCCTTCTTTTTGAGGATGGCTCCTCACCCATAGGCAGCTTCCCTAGAGTTTCTCACAAACATGTGATGTCCGCTCACCTCCATCTCCGCCGTCGTGGTCATCCAAGCTGTCCCCACTAGCTTCCGAGCTGGCCCAATGCTAGGGACTGCTCGGTCGAGCATAAACACCCCTCGGCCAGTCAGCCGACGGCACTGTCGAGAAGTACACCGCCTGGTCCTGCCCACGAATGTTCAAGAGCACGAATGACTATGCTACAACAAAAAAGGAATCAAATGAAACTAGAAATAAGACTTACCCATGGCAGGAGGTTCCCTACACTGAAGGCCCTCTGCTGGTCATCAATCTTACGGTGACCCATGAGGTTAAACAACACCCCAACCTACCGCATGGCCTCATCTCGATCAATTGGCTCGGGCACCTCTCGGGTCCCATTAGTATCCCTACGGAATTCATATGCAGGATGTGCCCTCTCCTTGCTGGGCTAGCATCGTCGAAAAGTGAAATTTGTCGCTACTATGACCCCATCCACCCTTCTCCGGTCGATCAATGTCAAGAGCTCCCTCATTTGCTCCATTCCATTGGCACCAAGTCTCTCCGACCACTTGACGTTGCTCACAGGAATCTGATCAATGTCACATGCCACATAGTGTTCCCCCTGTGGCATATAGAACCATCGCTGTGTCTAATACTTCACGTTTGTGTTCAACGGGGTAGCGATGTACTGGCCAACCATCCCATCCCAAAGCTGCAAGTATGCGCTACCTACTATCCTAGATCCAGATCCACCCCGAGCTTTCAAACAAAAGAAGTGGCGGAAGAGATCAAAATATGAAAGAATGCCAAGATAGGCTTCATAGAAATAGATAAAGACAGCAACATAAAGGATGGAATTTAGGCCCAGATTACAAAGACTAATCCCATAATAGTCAATCAACCCACGAAGGAATGGATGGATCAGAACACCAAATCCACGATAAAAGTAATCTTCAAAAACCACTAATTCATCGCTGCTGCGGGGGTAGGAAAGCTCTCACCATGAGTCGGACGCCATCCCGCCATCACCCTATTGGGCAGCACGCCGTCCAGCACCAACTGGTTGAGCGCCGCCTCGTTGCTGACGGAGCTCACCCATTCCTCAGCGTGATTGAGCTCGCATGATGCCCTACTCAAGCTGCTGTGATTTCTTTTGGGCACCATCTAACAGATCTGTGGCCTGGAGGAGACTACGAGCTTGCTGCTACTTTGATGGCGGAGCAGTTACTGAGTGATGCGATGTGGGCGTGAGAAAGAAGACGAAGTGACGAAGGAAAGGTGGGGAATGTGCTCTGGGGTTGTGGTGCTCTTATAACGGTTCGACCCCTGACCCTTCGCCTTCCAGGGTTTTTTGGGAAACCGCGCCTCTCCTGCCACATTCTCCCCCAAAACCTCCGCATGACGTTGGGCCGTCGAATGGGCCTTATAGGCCACCACGTCAAACTGCGTTGAACGCGGAGTGATGAAACGGGGTTCAATGCTAAGCGTCATTTCAACGAAGTCAAGATACTTTCTGACCCTGCTACAAGATACCTTCATCATCTTCCAGCAGGCTCGGGGACTATGTGTGTACACGTCATCTTGAGATGATTGTACTGTTTTTCTCAGCTAAGACATAAACGGTTTTAGCACCCGTAGACTGCCTCTTTGGATCTTGGCACCACGAGACTACTTCATCTAGTGCCTGGCTCAAGGACTAAGTGTGTACATTTCACCTAGCGGTGAATGTACTGATTGCCTGGTCTGGATATTTTTCTTTGACCCTGCTACAAGATTCCTTTATCATCTTCCAGCAGGCTCGAGGACTACATTGTGTACAATGCACCTTGCGGTGCATGTACTGCTTTTTTCCACGGTGTTTCAACTTCATCAAGCTTGCCATCTGATGCCTCTGCTCTGCCCTGATGACCACGTCGTCAGAGCCATCGCAATAGGCACTTAAGTGTGTACACTTCATCGCCTGAGACTTCAAAAAAAATTACTTGGGCTCCTTACATCCTACCAGTAAACCTTGAAGCTTCAAGTGAGCCCGAGCTTGGCTCCCAGATTGAAACACTTGGACATCTGTTTCTACAACTCGGACGCCATGTCCAACAGCTCGAATGACGTTTTCAACAGCTCGGCTACCAGTCAATCAAGACGGACGTCTGCTTTTGATGGCCGGCGACTAGCTGGACTACTCAGACAAACTCAAGATGGCGTTGCTCGGCGGATACAAGGTGCTCGGAGACTAGCTGTGGGGGCATAACCCCTGATACCTATAGGGCCGCACATGGGCCGAGCCGCTAGAGGAGGCCCAGCCCACGAGACCACGCAGGGGCCGCGCCACCAGTCGAGGCCCAGCATGCAAGATTACGCCGCGTGAAGTACGGCGTAAGTCTACATACCTTGCAAGACTGCGTAAAGATCCTCGACGATCTACAAAATCTGCTCGGATATGCTAGATTACCGTGATATCTGTAGCTTTCTATCTTGTAAACCGATTAGGATAGAAACAACCGATCTGTAACCCTACCCCTCAGGCTATATAAGGCGGGTTGGGACCCCCTCGTTTTTGTCTGATCACACGCAATACAATCCACAAAGATACAGGACGTAGGGTATTATGTCAAGTCGACGGCCCGAACCTGTCTAATCGCTCTCTCTTGCGTTCTGTGTCACCATACGGTTTCCTCACGCGCACCTCCACCGATTCATCTACTACCGTGGGCATACCTCTCGGTAGACTGCCGACCAGGTTTCGTCGATAGCGATGCTACAGTAAATATATGCTAATCATGAATTAATTAGGCTTAATAAATTCATCTCGCGAATTAGTCACGGCTTATGTAATTAGTTTTATAATTACTTTATGTTTAATACTTCTAATTGACATCCAAGTTACCTTATGTTTAGTTCTTTTAATTAACATCTAAATATTCGATGTGACAAGGACTAAATTTTAGTTCCTGGATCAAACACCCCCTACGAGGTTAATTTTAAGCTGAGTCGATCTCGGTTCAATTTTCACCTTCTTAACATTACAACAAATACATATAATAATCAACTTTTTAAACTGAGTCAATCTCCAGTCAAATTTCATATAAAATTACTCTTGTACTCTTCCCCGTTGGAATTGGCTCATGTTGATATTACGGAACAATGTTTGAAAGGAGAATCACTCAAGTTGCAATTTAAAGATTTTGATTTTTTCCCTTTTCTTTAGTCTGTTGTTTTTCTTTGGTACATTAGAGTTTTTAATGTCTTAGCTACATATTTGCTTGTCGAGACGTGTTATTCTTTCGTAATAATTGTGTCCTGATGCATCTTTATTACCTCTTGTTCTAAATTGTAAGTCATTTTGATTTTTAGGTATACAATTTTTGATATGTACTTCCTTCGTCCTTTTTTAAGTGTCATTTAGATTTTCGTGCTAGTCATACTTTCTTAAATTTGATTATATTTATAAAAATATTAGCAACATTTGTGTCTCTAAATAAAAGTATTATAAAAATATATTTGATAATTAATCTAATGATACATGTTATGCACCATAAATATTAGTAATATCTTGTATATATTTGATTAAAGTTGAGTAGATTTGACTCCTTGGTACGTGAGAACAACATTTAAAGCAAGACGAAGTTTATACTACCTCCGTTTTAAAATAAATCAATTTCTAGAATCATCTAAAGTCAAACTATCTTAAATTTGACTAACTTTATATGAAAGAGTAACAACATCTATGACAATAAATAAATATATTATGGAAATATATTTCATAATATATCTAATAATACTAATTTGGTGGCATATATATTGGTGCTCTTTCCTATATAAAGTCGGTCAATCTTAAAATAATTTAACTTATAACAACTCTAAAATTTGAGTTTAATTTGAGACGGAGGAAGCATATGTGTACTCTCTCTATCTTTGAATAAATCAATTCCTAAAGTTGTCTTAAGTCATTTTTATGTTTGACCGAATTTATAGAATATCTATGACATTAAATAAGCACACTATAAAAATATATTTTATGGTGTGTCTCGTCATACTAATTTGGTGTCATAAATTTTGCCGTTCTTTTATATAAATTTGGTCGATCTTCAAAAGTTTGACTAGGATTCGATGATTTATTCAGAGATAGAGAGTATGCAATATAAGCTATGTATTTAGGAAGTTAGAACGACTTATAATTTGAAACGAGCAAAGTAGAAGAAATATGAAGGCAGGAAAGCTTCATTATCTAAAAAGGTATATAGTCCTTCGGTAGGGCGGTTGTCAAACACCAGTACCAATGATGATCATCCGCAAGCTAGTCCCATTGGAACTTATGGCCTGTTGTTGCCTAGTATCATCATGCCTCTTGTCTCATGCGGGCTTTTTCCATGGAAAAAGAATAGGATTCGAACGTCGTGGTGCGATGACTCGTATGGTGCCAAGTCTTCCACAAACCTTGGTTGGAATTTGGAATTAATTGATGAGATACCGCCCATTACCTCCTGGTGCTGCTAAGTGCTAAATCATGAGCATCGTACACCAGCCAAAGATTGAAAGAAATCAATTCCACGAAAATCACACGACAATACACGTCCAGAGTCCAGACTGTCAATGATCCCCTAGCAGTTCCCTGCTTGCCCTCTCGCTCGCCGGCATGCCGCGTGGAAGAAACCGCCGATCAGCCGCTGATGCGGTTGCACGACCACTCGCCCTGGCGCTCGCTCTCGTCTCTACCCTGCCTCGCGCCGCGCACTCGCAGGATCTGGCGCTGCCACCACTCCCGCCACCTGGTCGGAGGCCGACGACGTGCGACAACGTCCCGGAGCCCTTCCGCATAAGGTCTAGCGCGTCGTCTCTGCCTGGCGGCTTCTGGGTGATATGCGGGCCAAACAGGGAGGCCATGCTGTCCATCGGCGAGCATGAGTACAGAATCGATTCCGTGTCCAACGGCTACGTGGTCATCTTCGCGGAGCCCATCACACAGGTGTGTTACGACGGCAAGGGCAAGCCGACGCCCGGGGCAAAGAGCTTGGACGGGACTGCGTTAACTTGGAGCTTGGAAGGGACGCCGTTCACTTTCTCCCAGAGAAACAAGCTGGTCAACTTCGGCTGCAACCACACGCTCATAGCTAACTTCAGCAACCTGCCCGGTGATCCCAGCCCGCTATACATCACCAGCTGCATCACCAAGTGCACCACCTCCAGCATCAGCAGCTCTTGCCATGGGGAAGCCTGCTGCGAGGCCTCCATGGACCAGCTGAACGGCGCCAAGGTGTTCAACCTATCGTTCGAACCCACGGCGAACGGCACCGACGACGGCGAGGAGGACGGAACCTGCAGCGCGGCGTTCTTCCTGGACAAAGACGAGCCAGTCTTCAATTTCAGTGGCGACGAGGTACGGCCGCTAAAAAAGGCCTTGTCGCCGCAACGTGAGCGCAGGATGATTTTGGATTGGGCGTTTGGGAGCACCACCTGCGACCAAGCTCAGAGCTACACATTCGAGCCACTGTGCAAGTACGGGTACGGCACCTGCGTCGACGCGCCCAGCGGAGCGGGCTATCTCTGCAAATGCCCTGACGGGTACGACGGAAATCCGTACGTCAGTGACGGATGCCAAGGTAAATTAAGGTTTCTTCTTCATCCGTCCAAAACGGTCGCAAGAAGTTTCTTATGTTTCTCAAAAGTAGGAAAAACAGAAAAGAGTTTCTCAGGGTACAAAAAGATAATATTTCACTAATAAATTGAAATACATGACTCAGTACTTGCCATATTTTTTATGAGAAAACTGAGAGTCATCCTTTAATTATGGGGAATAGAATCAGATTTGTATAGACTAGGAAGTTATGTGTGGGATATATGCATCTATTGCACTCTCCATATTTTGTCCGAAAATGGCTATAATGCATTATATTTCAGGACGGAGAGAGTAAGTTTCTAACAGTTCGACTACGATTTCATATGGAAGCACACATAGTTTTTTTTTAAACATGGTAGAGACATAGACATCCATACATACATATTTACTCAACCCTATAAATGCACGTATACACAGCCTATCCATATAAGTACCAATAAAAGATTGAAATTGGACCGGCAGATTTTGAGATAAGATGATAATAATCTACTTATGAGGAGCTAAACGGTTTTATTAAGAAGGAAGAAATCACCTCAATTAAAGTTGAAGAGAATTCAAAACATATCATTGGGATGCTTGTTCACGCCTCCCACACCAACCAATTAGTTTGAGCCCTGAATGGTGTCTGGTATTATTCTTTCATGCTGGTTCATGGAAGAGTTTTCATTTGTAACATACAATTTTATAGTCTGTTATGGATACAAATAGTTTCACCTTGCTTTCTGAACACGAAGTGTGTTGTTTTGTTCTGTTTGTCAAGACATCAACGAATGCCGGAACTCCAATAGTAACAACTGCACCTATCAGAACCTCTGCAACAATACTTTGGGAGGCTATACCTGTTCTTGCCCCGAGAACAATATTGGTGACGGTTACAGGACAGGAACAGGCTGCAACACCGCTCTTGTGACACCTGGTAATAATGCCCTACGTTTGGAACTTCTGTCAATTTAGCGTACTATAATCTCTCAACCCGTGCTTTTGCACAAGTTAGAATATTAGGAGATATAATCATTACAAGTTTGTGTTTAGAACATTGCTCTCTTTTTTGTTTATTTTTCTAATACAATCTCTCTATATATAAAGGGCCTCTATCTGACAGTGATAAACTTATCAAGTACTTTGTATTTTTTTTCATCCATATCTATATGTTCTCTTTTTCTACCTGACACCTTCATGTATTTCAATATACATTTAGTTAAAATTTTAGCTTACAATAGCTCTTACCGCAGCACAACTCTATTAGGTTCTGTCCAACATCTGTAATTGATGGTGGAGAAGCGAAACATATAAGGCGGAGGCAGCCCTTACCTATCATGCTAGTCTTTTGGGTTGAGTTAGGCCCCAAGGTCTTGGTATATTGTGGGCTCTGGTGGACCTAGGTCTAAGGGGCGCCGGCTCGTGGGTATAGCGAGCTGGGCCACATCCGCTGCACACTCTAATAAGTGGTATCAGAACTCATGGTGAGAAAACCTGAAAATCTCTAGAGTCACATGGTGACAGGGGAGCCTATTAACCTCTTGGAGGTCAAGGGGCTGTGTGTGATATAGAGGTCACAGGGGTTATGTGTGATATGAAGCGTTGGACTCGGGGCCTGGAGAACGTCTTTCGGAGGTCTTCCGGAGATCACACGAGGTTGTGCGATGTGAAGCGTTGAATCCGATGTGTGACGGGGGAGATTGTTAGGTTTAGTCCCACATCAATAATTGATGGTCGGGGAGCACAACGTATAAGGCGGGGGAAGCCCTCACCTATCAGACTTTTGGGTTGAGTTAGGCCTAAGGTTTTAGTATGTTGTGGGCACTGGTGGACCTGAGTCTGAGGGACGCCGGCTCGTGGGTATAGTGAGCTGGGCCAGATCCGCTACGCACTCTAACAAACTCAAGTCTAATGAGTCATGACGTCATTGATTTTCAAATTTTAATCTCATTAGTTAGTACAACTTTTATCATAAAAAAATTAATCAATAATGTATAAGTCTTTTGCTTATGGTACCTTTAATGAAACTCTACTTCATTATTTTATTAGAAATAATAATTTTAGACCTTAGATTGCGCTCTTAGTTACCATGATAACAAAAAATATGGTCCTTCAAGCTTGCACCGAGGCACTCAAAATCGTCAATATAACTTCAAAGAAAATGTAGGAGGGGCCAATGCTACTAACCTCAAGAGAATATTAATATTTATATCTAATAACTATTGTTTACTCAAAAGGCATATAAAAAAGTAAGGAAGGTCATAGACACTTTTTGTCTGCACTAACCTCCTCTACTGTTCATGATATTAATTTCTATACCAAAGAATCATATGTGCAATAGTATTTTCTATAAAAATATAGTGCTTACAATTTAGAAACATATATTATAATGTTTAAGTTAAATTGTATGCACATCATTTATGATTACCTTAAATTGTTTTTATGTATTAATAGCTACAAAAGTATGTGATTTATAAACATATATAATTATATTTTATGGTTATTTAGACATTTTCCACATTAGAAGTTGCTATGTCAAGTTTTTTTTAAGAAAATTGAATGGATTGTGCCTACTATTATTGGTAGTAATTAAATTCTACTGGATCAATGGTTAGATCTTCCTTATTTTCATGAGAATTTTTAGGGCTTGTTTTTCTAGCACGTCCCATAAAAGGTTATGTTGAAGGCCTTCAATTAGTAATAATATAATAGTAATTTTAGAATATTGTTTTTTATAGCACGTCTCATGAGAATTAATACAGTGTTAGAGGCCTTCAATTAGTAATAGTAGAATAGTAATTTTAGAATTTTGTTATCTGAACGCAATATTTCAACATAACCTTCTCCATTGTATCATAGGGACTTTGGTTTTAGAGTTATCCATAAATATAAGGATTTTGGTACCGAATCTCCAAGCATTAATTTAATTCAACAACTATTCAATATATTTTCTTTTAGGTGGTGACTTGCCATTTAAAACTAGGGGTTACTGAACAATAGGGCCATAACTATTCAACTAACGCAAAAAACCGTAGCCCACTTCTGATGGCACATCCGTACATGCGCCTATTCTATCTATTTTTAACGCCTTAAAGACTCTAGAAGTTCTTATATCTGTGGACAGAGGAATAGTGATTTTAGGTACCTATGCTTATTGTAGCCAATTGTACATTGTAACATACTTTCTGAATGCAATTTAATGCAATTTAGCATATGTAGAAATCTTTAATCCCTATTGTTTTATATTTTTTCCAAAGAAAAAAAATGAAACATAAACCCTTAGACCCAAGTACACTATAACATAATTTCTGAACGCAACATGCCAAAAAGATTTATGGGATATTTAAAGAAACAAGGTTAGCTTCTAAATCATTCTACAACTGACCGAATCATTTTGTCTTTTGGTTACTCCCAGTCACTTGCATTCAACAATTGTCTCTCATGTAAGAAATACTTGCTTGAATCCTGAGTAATATGCCTATATATATTTCTTGAATACATTTAGACATTTAATACCTACTGACTAACAATTAACGTTCTTTTGTGCTGCATATTCCCCTACGCACCAACCGCAAGGTACCATATAACTTGTTCATTGCAACGAGTGTACGAGTCCATTAGTTCATCATGACTTTATCACCCTTTACTGGTTCTTTAGTGCCATGATTTTTTCTATTGTGAAAAGAAATCTCTTCAAAGAGATGTCGTTGATGATCCTTGGCTATTTATCAGGTACCGGCGTGTGTAATCACACAGAAAAGAACCCTTGCACATACATTAAGCACTGCTTTGATTCGGAAGGAGTTGTTTTTTGCGACTGCCCTGAAGGGATGAGTGGTGATGGCCAGAAAAAGGGTAGTGGCTGCTATTTTGGCTCTCAAAAGCACTTTCCTCTAGACACAGTTTTGGGTAACTTCCTCAATACATTTATAATATATATCATATGCTTACCACATTACGCCAATGCATATTAATCAACAGACTCCATAAGTAAGGCCCCATCTTATATAAGCTAGCATTATGGTTTATGAATAAAAAAGGAAGTAAAGTAGATTAAACACGTCATTTTAAAAAAAGATTAAACATGCCTTTGGTAATGATAAAGAGAGAAATTATAGTTTACATTAGTCCTAAAGATTACCTCAATGTTGCTACATGGGGCCAGTCAATCTTGTATCATGCACAATCTGCAGCAAAATAATCAATTCAACAGTCATCAGTCATTCAGTCCTATTTGTATTGGTCTCAGTAGTGTTACTCCCACATGAGAGCCAATTGGACAGTAGACTTACGTTACAAGTGTTCTCCAACATCTGCAGGTGTAGGTCTTGCACTTATGGTTACAGTGACCACCGCTGTGTCGTTCTACTGCTGGGCGATAAAGAAAAGAGAGCTAGGAAGAAACAGAGCAGAATTGTTCAGGAAGAATGGTGGCTTACTACTGCAGCAGAGATTTTCAACAATCACGTCTCAAGGAGAGGACCAATCAGCAAAGATATTTAGTGCAGAAGAGCTCAAGGCTGCTACTGACAACTACAGCGAGAGTCGAATCCTTGGCCGAGGTGGACATGGCACAGTGTACAAGGGCATTCTTGCAGACCAAACTATAGTCGCCATAAAGAAGTCCAAGGTGTTCGATGAGAGCCAAGTGGAGCAATTTGTCAATGAGATTGCCATCTTGTCACAGATTGACCACCCAAATGTTGTCAAGCTTTTGGGATGCTGTCTAGAGACACAGGTACCATTGTTGGTTTATGAGTTCATACCTAATGGAACACTCTTCCAGCACATCCACAACAGAAATGCACCTCGCCCTCTAACATGGGAAGACTGCTTAAGGATAGCTGCAGAAACTGCAGATGCACTTGCCTATCTGCACTCCACATCTTCTGCACCAATCATACACAGAGACATCAAATCAAGCAACATTCTGCTGGATGAGAACTTCGTGGCTAAAATAGCAGACTTTGGTGCATCAAGATCAGTCCCATTTCATCAAACTCATATAACTACTCTTATTCAGGGGACTATTGGGTACCTTGATCCCGAATATTTCCAAACCAGTCAGCTAACTGAGAAGAGTGACGTTTACAGTTTCGGAGTTGTTCTTGCAGAACTATTGACCAGGCAGAAACCTATTTCTGCAGCAAGGCCGGAAGAATCATGTAACTTGGCTATGCATCTGGTGGTTCTATTTAATGAACGGCGCTTACTTCAGGAGATAGAGCCGCACATTTTGGTCGAAGCAGGCGAAGACCAATGTTATGCCGTTGCAGAGCTTTCAGTACGGTGCTTAAACGTGAAGGGAGAAGAACGGCCTGCCATGGTGGTGGTGGCTTCAGTTTTACATGGGCTAAAAAGGTCATTCACCATAGACCAGACTGCCACAAGAAAAGATGAATGGGCAGGGGAAAATACTGAACAGGAAGAGAAACATCTACGTGAGCCCAGACCAATTCCCAGTTTGCAGTCATTAGAAGTAAGCACACAATGCAGCATGGAGGCTGAAATGTTATCTTCTCATATGCCAAGATGATCTTCCTGACAATGTACAATTGATTATGAATTATGATTAATAATCGGGGCTTTGCTGTAATACTCCCAAATAACTTTGAGTTGTCCATTTAATTAGATCAGATAACTATAATCACTTATTACCTCAAAATATAAATTTATTTAATTTATTATTTGTTAAAATAGGATATGTCGGGTTCATAAACCCGGGGTCCACAATGGATCCGCTTGTCAGCAAAAGCTCGGCCTAGCAGACGGCGTAGCGACAACACGCGCCTCCCGGACCGACCCAGTTACCTAACGATAGGCCGGGAGAACGACCCGGTCCCCCGACCGGAAGACCTGGCTAAGGAAGGGACATAGTCCAACTCCGATCTCCTTTTCCGACCGGGGATACGCCGAATCTCCGCTTGCAGCTCTTCCCTGACCGACATGGTCGGGGCCGACCGGAAAACAACTGACCGGGGACGCCAGCTCGGTGAGGGCCTGGAGATCAGGCGGAGCAGATAAAGTAAGGCGCTCAAGTCAAACCACAACATCGAGGACCGTACATCGTCATCATACACTCGTGCACTGCAGGACGGTGCCACCAGGCCATACCAGATAGGCACTATGCAACCTTCCAAGCGTGTCAGAACCCAAACAGTATTGTGGGCGCCGTCGTTTGTCAGACCCTCGCCACGCCCTGCACTGCTGCAGGACGGTGCCATTGGGGCATGCCAAAGCGAACATGGTAGAAGCTCGCCAGACGCGTTCTGGGCATAAAAGCGATATTGTGAGGAGCCGACAAACGCGTTTGCACCCGACAAAGATGAGCAACAAGACTAGAAAGTACGTACGCACTATCTCTCTTTCTCTCTAACTTGTAAGGTCATCATCTTTACCTATAAAAGGGGATACGCTCTCTTCCAACAGGAGGCTCTCGATCTGGCTCTGGAGAACCTGAGCATTCGAACAGCTCCACAGCTCTAGAACTCAACAGCTACACAGAGCATGCGCTCCAATACTTAGCGCACGTTAGGGACCTGTCACTCTTAGCCACTTGGTCTAGAGTCCGACCGGGTCTCTAACACCCCCTTCTTATTCCTACTCGTTTGTAACCCCACAGCAAACTTCGATCACCTTGGCTCAGGAATAAAGTCACCGACCAACTGAAACTGGACGTAGGGCACGTTGCCTGAACCAGTATAAATCCTGTGTCATTGAGTGCTAGGCCACATCCGATCACAACGCACGACAAAACTACAAATATTTACTTGTTGGTCACTTTTCGTACCGATAGTTGGCGCCGTCCGTGGGGAGGACGTCGTGCGTTCACGCTTTTGGTCATCGGATGGCCCATCTTTCCACCATCTTTGGCATGGCGGGCTCAAACGAGACGTTTCGCTTCGGCTCGCTGGAGCTTCCCATGCTCCCACCTGTTGGGATGTGGGTTCCTCCCGTCTTCGAGCCGCACCAGATCTTCCTCTTCGAAAGTTTGGACTTCGTCGCCGACCAGCTCGACGAACTCCGCCTCCATGAGGAGGCACTTGTCCCGGTGCCCACGGGAGGAGGAGCGCCCTCCGCTGGCCCCAGGTCACTCGATGACTCCAACGTCGAGACACTCGCGCTTCGCCTTGAGCCCATACTGGGCTCAAACTCCACGGTGAGTAACGTACATGTTGTTCTTTACTCATTGTTTAATACCTTTCACCGACTCTTCGAAGGGACCCTGTTGTCCCCACCACGATCGTCGTGCGACCGTTTTCCCTATGGCTTCGCGTCCCCTACGGATGCGTACGCATGGGGGCTTCAAAGGATGCTAACGCCGCCCCATCTCACATCCAAATTCGTGGGGATGGCAGGCTACACTCCCACCTCTTTTCACGACCTCGTGGATGACGGAGTCGAAAGCAATGGCTCCAGCATCGGCGATGTTGTGGCACCTGGCGACCCTTTGTCCTTGGAGTGCGCTATGGGGGAAGCTCCGGGACAGCCACCAGTGGTAGCAGAGTCTCTACAAACTCACATCCCTCTGGACCCTCGTACGGAGGCCTCGTGCGTGCGCAGCAGCACAACGAGGAGTTATGACAAAGGCGGCAGAGCCAGCCGCCACCTGCGCTGCTGCGGTGCAACATCCTAGATGGGGGGAACAACCCCCCTCAGTTCGCTCAAGCTGGAAAGAACATCGCTGCTGCTGGCGATGTCCAGTGTGTGGCCTCCCAAACCGGCCCGACCCTCGGGGAGCAAGCAATCCACCGGAACCTTCGGGCGCTGGTGGAGACCAACGTCATTCAACAGGCGGAGAGCTCCGCATCGCGACACCAGCTCACGGCCTCTTGCCCAACCGGAGGACTAGGGCCGCACCAATCGAGTCGCTCCATCCACTCACCATTGCTATTGCCAGGGGTGGAGCAGGAGGCCGCGACTACACCATAGCCTGACCCAGCGCCCGCTCCACACCGACCACCTATGCACGAACGCCTTGGGCCGAACCGTGACGCTCGTAGCGTCATCAACAATCGACGCCATGCCCTGCACGATGATGACGCCTATCTAGTGGTGGCGAGAGCAGGCGATACAGGCCTCGGCCTGACCATCGAGGAGTGTGGGGACACGCACCCTAGGCATGGTGGCCGACCAAACGGCCAGAGTCCTAGCCCGGACGGCCTAGGACCACGCGTGTGGCAGAACCGCCTAAAATAGCACACTTACGGAGGCGCTCATCTTCCACCAGACACTAAGCACCACGAAGCTAGCTACAAGCTGAACGATATCCGTCGGGCATACCCCAAGGAGAACCCAAAAGATCCATATTTTTCCCAATGATCCAATAATGAGAACGAGTTACAATACATGTCCATTTCATACATCCGAAGTTCTTAAAAATTATATTATTACATTACCAAGTGTCGAGTGTGGATTAATAAACAACGGAATTTAGAAATAAACATCTAGCGATAGGAAAGCGAGGAATCCGGCTCGAGCCCACCGGAAGAATCCCTACACAAGGGTACTTCTCATGCATTACCCGCAACATGGGTAAATAAACTACGAGTACACAATGTACTTGCAAGACTTATCCGACTAGTGGGAATAAATTTTCCGACTCCAAGGAACATGATAAGCTTTATGGCTTGCTGGTTTTCTTTTGGCGGAAAGCAATACTAATCGTGAGTCCTTATTTATATATTATTATCAGCCGTATTAAGTTATTATCTAGCCAGTCTATATAAGCACATGTTCTACTTTCAAGCAAGAGTTGAGCAATCAGTTCCATTTCTTCTTCTTTCAACTTTCAGTTCTTACTACGATGCTAAACCGCAGACAAGCCGTACCGGAATGCCGGCGATTCATGAATCAATGCCCCCCGCTGGGTGCCCGAAGACACACACCCTGCTTGTACCCTAGGCATAAGCAGGACCAACCCATCACTCTCATGTCCTAGGTGTCCAGGTCCCCGTCCAAACTTGGACTCCAAGCTCCCACTCCTGAGTCTCGGACTCAGTGCGGTGCAAGGATCTCCACCATCTTCGCCTCCCATCAGTCAGTCCGGAAAGAGCCGGATCCATGACAAGAGAGCAATAAGTCTTCCTTGCGCCCATACCCAAGTATGTACTCGGGACAATAGATCTGTGACTTGCCTAGAGCCATATGCAACGACTGGTCCTTAATCGACACAGACAGGGAAAAAGTGTAACCGAGCTATGCCCCGTTGGTCGCAGGACACAACCCCTTACACCCACCAATACCCAAACTATATCCCTGTCCGGTCACTATTTACCTTTACAACATTTTATCATGAGTGTTCATATTTATCACCTACTTGTGAGTAACAGCAGGTTACTCACGCTACCGATATCCTGAGCATAGCAACTACTCGACCTATACTAGTAGGACTCATAGGTAGATATATTTATGCATGTAGTTTCCATAAAATGCCTGTAACTTAAATGCACAACATAGATATATATTCAGTGACCAATTTAAAATAGGGATTATGTACCGGGGCTTGCCTTGGGCAGGCGACAGGTCAACAAGGTCAGCACCAGTAGGCTCCGGGGCTCCCTCCTGCACGAGGATCTCCTCCTCATACTCCTCGATGACCTCCTCATACTCCGGTTCGTCGACGGGCACGAACTCAACCAACTCGTGATCTACATGCATGACATAATGATGCAATACTTAGTAATATAGCAACAACAGCTCTTAAAACAAAAGTACATCTATCTAACTACTAAGCTAGTGCTACTGACCATGGTACTAAGTTATATATTGTTACTAATAACAAGTATGAAGTATGGCCTACATTATTATAGCAACTACAGGTATTCTTACTCCTAATGCTGATTTACGCTATAGACGAAAAAGCAAGGATAATAGCTACTCTATTTATCAACTTATTCTAGGGCTACAAAATTTACAGCAAGTACATAATAATCTAGTGAGCCTAGTGTAAAATTTTTATAGCTATAGCTAACACCAATTTACCACAAAAATTTCTACAAATATTAATCTACATAATACTAAGCCATCTAGTTTGAATTTTATGAACCTACCATTGACACAACTAACTGTAATCTAATTACACTAATAGGTAGATGGTAATTTTGTGAACCTAACAAACTTTGTTTCATTATTTTTGGACATCTACAAAATTTACTACAATTTATCAAAGTTTAGCTCATAACTAAATTAAATAAGCATTTCTACTTTACTGGAAATTGAAGAAACCGATTTCTAACTTGCGGCCCAACTCGCGCAGCTCGGCCCGCAACGGCGCGACGCGCGCGCACACGCGGCGCTGCCCATGTGGGGGCACGGCCCAGCCGAACGACGGCCCACGGCGGAAAGGACCCGCGCGCGCCGGTCGATATGCAGAAACACCCTTGGACTACTCCGTAATCACTCAAGCGATAAGCGCACTTCTCCGCGTGTCTACTATTTTATAGCTACGCCCTCGGACTTTCCTATCTTCACGACGGTGATACCCCCGACACCCCCGCACGCGCTCCGGTGCGACGGCGCTGGCACCGGCAGCAT